ATATATATATATATATATATATATACATATATATACATATATAATGTTGTTTTTTTGTGTGTACGTATATATAGAGAAGCACACACAGGTTTTTATGCATGCATGTATTCAAACTGCAGTCCAGCCGTACATAGAGAGCCAGGAAAAGGTGAGGTCGGGGCCCGCGACCTCGGCCGCCACCTGGCCCACGGCGTCCAGAGCGGCGTCCCTCGGCTCCCGGCCGCCCGACGGGAACTCTGAGGACGCGGCCGGCAAGAACAGGATCACGTGGTACTGGTCGGGAGCCAGGTCATCGGCCTTGGCGCCCCCGGACTGGGTCAGGGCGGCGTAGCGCTCTGGTCAAGTCGTCCCTGCAGGAGCAACGGAAGTCAAGCCACTAGGATTCCGGTTGGGAAATGCACCATTTTTTAGTAATCACCAAAAAAATAACTAAAAAAAGGAAATGTGAAACGCACCGAAAACTTGCTCAAGATCCTAAATACTTAGAAGGCTGCGGGAATAAACAAGACGTTATATTCCCGAAACTTAATTTCTATACACACCATAACGGGTAAGGTTGCATATCGCAGGACATTGGCGATTGCGGACGGGTCGTTCAGGTGGTCGCGCAGGATCCGTCGCGGCTGGTAGCGGTCGTGGGGCTTGGCCACGACCACGCACCCGGCGCGACTCCCACACCTGCCAGGGAGGGATTTCGGCTCGTAGATCAGTCATCTCGCATTAAGCTTCTTCCTTTTCATCATTAAAGTCAAGCCAAGTTCATCTTAGTTTGAATTCTACTACTACTTCGACTTGATACTTCCATTCTACTTCCATATCTACTCTTCTACTTCTACTACTTCTACTGTTACTCTCAACACTTACATTGAAGATGTGGCGGCAGGAGAAATGTGGCGTGCTACCAAGTGGGTTCCTCGCAATATCGCTGCCGCCTGCGTCACTCCGGCCGCATCTAGAGAGCAACATTATTAATAACAGAGTAACATAGGAATAGCATATATGCTGCGTGAAGAAGGATTTCCATTAATTTTTCTTTGAAAGGATGGAAAAGTACCATGTGACTGTCTCCTGAATTTGACATCTATGTACTGTCTATCTCTGTTTCACACGTATCTCACAGCGCTTTAAGAAATGCCACATACACACCGCAAAATTATACGAAATGATAATTCTACCTAGGATAACGAGGGAAAGAAGAGGCCGAGTTTCACTGCATCTCTGTTAACACATTTGCCGCTCTCTAACAACCAAAAGCGTCTCCAGATTCTTTCACTTACGTTCAATGTTGCCTCCGCGGCGCCCTTTTGGACATGACACAGCGGAGCGACGTGGGTGCGGCAAAGGGACATTGCACACACACACCCACACCCACCCACCCACACACACACACACACACACACATACACACACACAAACACACACGCACACACACACACACACGCACGCACGCACGCACACACACACACACACACACACACAACACACACACACACACACACGCACCCACACACACACACGCACCCACCCACACAGACACGCACCCACCCACACACACACACGCACCCATCCACACACACACACACACGCACCCATCCACACACACACACACGCACCCACACACATACCCACACACACAAACACACACACACACATACACACACACACACGCACGCACACACGCACGCACACACACACGCACGCACACGCACACACACACACGCACACACATACACGCACGCACACACACACACACGCACACACACACACACACCACACACACACGCACACACACGCACACACACACGCACGCACACACACACACAGCGCTTTCGTCTAGGAATCTTGCTGACCTGCGTTCGATTTCCGCACACCAGCCATTCCTCGCCCACAGGGGGTAGTTTAGAAGCACAAACAGACAAGCCACAATTTGACTGATGTCACAAGAGCCTGTCACAGCAAACACTATATTATTATTATTATTATTATTACACACACACACACACACACATACATATGCGTCTGAAAGCGGCCTCCTATTCATAAGACAGAAGAATGCAGTGACGCAGTAAATGGCTGTACTGCACGGCCCGCTTCAATGGATTGCCCCAAAACAGTCCCTAAGAAAAAAAAAGAAAAAAAAAATCCTTTTAAGTGGTTCGTGTGGTCTAGTTGTTTATTTCTGCTATTTCATGTACACTGACAGACAAAAAGCATGTCGTAAAATGAAGCTTCGAATAGGTTTTTCCCTCTACAAAAAGCGTGGTATTCAGCGAAGGTTCAAATGGAATTCGAAACAGGTTTGGCAAGAGTTTGACCGAGACTGTGCTATGCGTTTTACCTATGGAGAGTGAGTTCGAGGGAAAGGCGGTGTCATGGCGTCTGTTTTGATGTTTGTTCAGTTAATGTATAACCATTTAAATAATCATTTTCCATATTTTTTGAAAATTGAAGAGACCAGAATGATCGACCATATTCACAAAGCATCCGTAACTTTTGCGACGCCATCAAAATAAACCCCATATGCTTTTTTCCAAAAACAGAATCAGTCTCCATGACACCTCGAGTTGCTACTGATCTAGCCTTTTCCGTGAACTCGAGTCCCTATCAGAGAGAGTGATTCAATTACGCAGCCGTTCGCTTGGGCTTGGTAGTGCCTAAGGAAAGCGCACCTCTGAGAGTCGCAAAAACTCCCACGGCCACGGCAGGAGGCGAGGGGAGGGCGAGGGCAGGATGCAAGGAGGGCGAGAGACGAAGCAGTTCCTCCAACACCTCTCCTGACGTCACTTCCAAGGGCGTAGATCCTTCGCAGCTGAATAACAAGAATAACAATTAACACCAATATTTTTTTTTGCCTAAAATAGATTTTTTTTTTTTATCTTATTCCTTCCTTATCTTGCACGTATCAATTTGTATCCTACATACATAGGAATATATCTCAGGTAATAGCTTCCATATAGTATATCAAACTTGGAAGGGTTGTGAACAACAAATAGACGATCTCAAAATGATTTGTTAAGAAAAATTGTGCATTATGAAATTATATGAAATCTAGAAGAAAAATAATTCCGAATCTACCCAGGTTGCTCTATCTGCAAGAAATATCCCATGAACCGTTTTCATTTTGACAGATGTCGAAAAGATGTGAATTAAATGTATTGTGAAGATATTCATTCTCATGCACACCCTTTCTAGAAATGTCCCATTCTGCCGGAATTAGAATCATACCTCTGAAGAAGTATGAATGGCAATTGGCAAGGCAGGATGTAACACTGAAATAACCAGGAAAGGTGAACCGGAATTAACTACAAGATGTAAGTAAATGCAACATTCCTATTATCAGCAACTACAGTTAACCCAAACTCCTTAAAATGATAATAAAATATATAGAACACACATACACAAACACTCTCAAACACACATGCATACATATCAACACCAAACCACGACACCCCTTGCTCTCTCACAGCAGGATCGCCTTCAGGATGCCGGCCCCGCTGATGGCCCCGTCGTAGGTGATGTTGTTGGCGCCCTTCGGATGCAGGCGCAGCACAGGATACGTCGAGATCCCGTTGGCGTCGCACACCTTGGGCCAGTCGAAGCAGTTGACGCGGTAGAGGGAGGCGTGGCTTCCCAGCTCGTGGAGTTGGGGGACGATGCTGTCCAGGTGTTGCAGGAGAATGTTGCTCACGGGGTCCCCTGCAACGGAAGCGAAAGGTGGGGTTAAGTGACCTTTTTTTCTTCTTCGATTTGTGGGTACGTGATTATTTTTCTTTGATTTGTAGGTACGTGACTAATTTTCTTTCTTTGATTTGTGGGTACGTGAATATTTTTTTTCTTTGATTTGTGGTTACGTGACTTTTATCTTTGATTTGAGGGTACGTGAATATTTTTTTCTACGATTTGTGAGTACGTGACTATTTCTTTCTTTGATTTGTGGGCACGTGACTATTTTATTCTTCGATTTGTGGGTACGTGACTTTTTTTCTTCGATTCTATTTAGGGTACATGACTATTTTTTATCATTGTTTTGTTATTGATTGGTGAAACGAAGGTTTAAAGAATAGTATATGGGTGAATAGGAGCTTTGGAAATTGAATTCGTAATTTGAAATTCTCTCATTTTAAAAACTCTCTCTCTCACTCACTCACTCACTCTCTCTCATTTTTTCTTTCTCTCTCTCATTTTTTTCTTTCTTTCTTTCTCTTCCTCCCTCCCTCCTCCCTCCCCCTGACTCACAGTGTAGCGTGAAGGCCAGGGCCGCGAGCGTGCGCGAGGGCGAGGGAGCGAGGGCAGCGCTGAGAGCCTCGGGGCCTTCGAGGGCTGCCACGTGCAACAGCCTCTCCTCAGGCACCATTTCTTGCACCAGTTCGTCGTCGTCCTGTTGCAACTCTGCTGTGGAAGAGGCGGTGGTCAGTGGCGGGTCTGTGGATGGTATGCAAGGGGTGTATGTGTGTCAGGGATTTAGAATGGGGTGTATGTGTATCAGGGATTTAGAATGGGGTGTATGTGTGTCAGGGATTTAGAATGGGGTGTAAGTGTGTCAGGGATTTAGAATGGGGTGTGTATGTGTGCCAGGGATTTAGAATGGGGTGTATGTGTGTCAGGGGCAAGAGAAAGGTATGGGAGAGAGGTACGTACCTCAGGGTAAGAGAAAGGTATGGGAGAGAGGTACGTACCTCAGGGTAAGAGAAAGGTATGGGAGAGAGGTACGTACCTCAGGGTAAGAGAAAGGTATGGGAGAGAGGTACGTACCTCAGGGTAAGAGAAAGGTATGGGAGAGAGGTACGTACCTCAGGGTAAGAGAAAGGTATGGGAGAGAGGTACGTACCTCAGGGTAAGAGAAAGGTATGGGAGAGAGGTACGTACCTCAGGGTAAGAGAAAGGTATGGGAGAGAGGTACGTACCTCAGGGTAAGAGAAAGGTAGGGGAGAGAGGTACGTACCTCAGGGTAAGAGAAAGGTAGGGGAGAGAGGTACGTACCTCAGGGTAAGAGAAAGGTAGGGGAGAGAGGTACGTACCTCAGGGTAAGAGAAAGGTAGGGGAGAGAGGTACGTACCTCAGGGTAAGAGAAAGGTATGAGAGAGGTACGTACCTCAGGGTAAGAGAAAGGTAGGGGAGAGAGGTACGTACCTCAGGGTAAGAGAAAGGTATGGGAGAGAAAGGTATGTATGTGAGGGAAGAGAATAGTATGGAAGGAGTATATGTGTGTCAGGGAAGGGAAGGGTATGGAATGGGTATCTCTCTTGGTTAGGGATTCTCTCTCTGCTAGAATAGTTTGATGAGCAAAGGGTAATTTTAGGATGATGAGAACAACGACATCAACATTAAAAGCTCTAGTGACGATAACAATGATTGTTACTGTTAATGAACGTCATTTTAGCGAAAGAATGAATCCCTTTTCCCAAACACTTATTATATTTCCTAATTAGATTCACACTTTTCTATCTCCTTATGCAAAAATCTCAAGCAACATCTTATCTTTTTATCACTTTTTTTCCTTTTTTCTCCTTATCCCAAATATCTCAGATATTCCATCTTTAGTCATGTTTCCCTTTTCTCCCTCATGATTAAAAAATCTCTGACTAAATTTTGTAATCTTATCTTTCCTCTTCTTCCTCCTCCTCAACAAATCTCAGCCCTTTTATCCTCCATTTTTTTCTAATTTCACCTTTTCTTCCTTATTCCAAAAAAGGTTTCACACATTTTAGCTTCTAATCATATTTTCCCTTTTCTCTCTCCTTATAAAAAACTCAGACAGGATATCAGTCGAAGTCGAGAACGAACGCGACGAAACACACCCTCACGCACGCACACACGCACGCACTCACCCAGGGACTCGACAGGCGCGTAACCCTGCTCCTCCTTGCTTAGTACGGGCTGGATCTGCAGGTCGTCCAGCTGGTCGTTTAGCCACTCAAGAGGGTCGTCGTAGTCGTTCAGCAGCGGGACCGTCGCCTGTTTGTTTGTGTGGGATATATTTTTTTAATGGTAAGTATCATTGGCACATACATTGGGGGTGTATACGTGAATGTGTATATCAGTATGTGTAGGAGAGAGAGAGAGAGAGAGAGAGAGAGAGAGAGAGAGAGAGAGAGAGAGAGAGAGAGAGAGAGAGAGAGAGAGAGAGAGAGAGAGAGAGAGAGAGAGGCAGGCAGGCAGGCAGGCAGGCAGAGATATAGAGATATACAGATAGATAGACAAACATACAGACATAGAGACAGACAAACAGAGACAGAGAAATGTACCCATCAGATAAAGACACAGACAGAGACAAAACAGACAGAAAAAACCGACAAACACACACTCAAACACACGCAAAACCTTCACTCACACCCACCGTTGGTTTCCTGAGGTGCGGCGGCTGCAGGATGGCCAGCGCAGGAGCAACGATGTTCGACGCAGAGAGCCCAAGATCGGCCAGGACTTCTACGCCTTCCTGTTCCCTGCAACATGGGAGACGCGACTCTTGCAATAACACTGCTCTTGGTCGTTCGTGGAGGCAAAGTGAGAGTAGCGAAGATAGTGATTTTATTATCATTAATCAGCGAATATGGTGGTTATTTGATTGTATTAATCGACGAAGATAGTGAGTGCCATTATTATTAACGAATATAGTGATCATTATCATCATTAATAAACGAAGATAGTGATAATTATTTACATTAATCGACGAAGATAGTTATCATTATCATAAACGATCAAACGATATCGATTATCATCATCATTAGTCAGCGAAGATAGTGATCATTAATATTATTAATCATCAACGACAAGGATTGCTATTATTATTGCGGATCGACGTCTCGGAAGGAAGACTCCCACAGTGCGAAGTTGAGGACTGAATCTCTTAAATGACGAACCCAAGCAGTATGTATTCAACATTTTTAAACCGTTTTTTCTGCTTTACTCCTTGCCAAACAATTGTCACCAACGTCTCAATATAATTATGTCTTTTTTTCTAAATGTCCACAGTTTATAACCAACATTTAGATATATGTGACGAACGTTTGACATACCGTAAGCAATAAACGTTTCAGCATCTTATATGTTAATAACGTTTCGAAATCCGACACGTAATGGACGTTCGAGTACCATCACAAATTTCCAAATAACCTAACAAGCAATTATATGTAACTAAGGTTTAATCATCACACCCCGATCCATTATTACTCACAGGTCAAAGGTGAGCGTCGCAGCGGTGCCATGCAGGAGCTGTGCCAAGTGGGGCACGAGGGTCATGACACGACTGCGGGAGGCGGAGTCGTGCAGGAGGAGGATCCAGGGCATCTCTGTGTGGTCGTAGGGAGTGGCGACCTCCCTTGACCCGGGCGACAACCTGATCTCGTGCTGTGGAGGTCAGGGAAGGGCTTGCTCCATTGTTCATCATTATCATTATTGTTATTATCGTTATCATTATTTTCATTGTCACCATTACTATTATTATCATTATCATCGTCATAATCATCAATACCATTACATCATTATCACAATTGTTATTAT